GGCCGCCTCGGGTGGTTGTGGTCACTTGGCGTTCTCAGAGCTGTGCGTGTCTCCTGCTCAGGTTCCTGTACTCCGATGAAGTGCAGATCGGGCCTGAGACGGTGATGACCACGCTGTACACCGCCAAGAAGTACGCAGTGCCTGCGCTGGAGGCGCACTGCGTGGAGTTCCTGAAGAAGCACCTGCGGGCCGACAACGCCTTCATGCTGCTCACGCAGGTGGGTGTGCTCACGTGGGGCGCGGTGCTGCTGGGGTCTGCGTGTGGTGCCTGTGCACCACCGGGGAAGCAGGCGTCCTCAGCCGCCGCCCACTTTCTTTTTTGTAGGTGTTTTGTTTTTGATGGGTGGGTATTGTTTTTGTTTTTGGAGATGAGGTCTCACTGTGTAGCCCAGGCTGTGCTGGAACTCACTACATAGACCAGGCTGGTCTGAATTAACAGAGATCCTCCTGCCTCTGCCTCCCCAGTGCTAGGATTAAAGGTGTGCGCCACCGCCGCCTGGCTTCTTTCGTGTCTTTCTCCTCTGGGACAGCCTGGCTCAGTAGCTAGGCGGCTCTGCACTCCTGACCCTTCCGTCTCAGCCTTCGCCAGCGCACCCGCTCCTCCGCTTCAGCTTTCATTTTGTGTATCCACGGGGGTGCACAGTGTGCGGGCGTGGCCTGCTGTGACGGTCCGACCTTCCCCGTCTCTAGGCCCGGCTCTTCGATGAGCCGCAGCTGGCCAGCTTGTGCCTGGAGAGCATAGACAAGAACACAGCCGATGCCCTCGCCGCCGAGGGCTTCACCGACATCGATCTGGGTGAGTCAGGGTCGGCAGGTCTTCAGTTCGAGGACCGTGCTGGGTTTGGGTCAGGTTGGAGACACTGATTGGAAGAAGACAGCATACCCACCTCCTGGGTGACGTGACGGCCCTGGGTGGAACAGATACAGAGGGGCTAGGTAGCCGGGCTTGGCCTGTGTGCAAGAACTTGGCCTTCCGTTCTGGGGTCAATGTTATCCCTGCGTAGGGAGACTGCCAGCCCCTACAGGGTCATCTGCAGATGCCTTGGAAGGGTCCGGAGGTCAGAGCCAGAGGAAATAGTCGCGGGGTGTGGGATGCATTCCTATGAACTCAGCTCTCAGGAGGCTGAGGCAGAGGGATTGCTGTAAGTTCCAAACCTGCCTAGACTGTAGAAGGAGACTCTGTCTCAAAAGGTAAGCGGGCTGGGCCTCAGCTGAGGTAGTAGACTTCTTCCCTAGCACTTGCCGGCCTGTCACCCCAGCACTCAAGAGGTGGGGACAGGAGGGCCAGGGGTTCAAGGCTAGCCTCAGCTACATGGTGATTTCAGGGCCAATCTGGACTACATGAGACTGTGTGGAAGGAAGGAAGAAAGGCAGTGCTTAGGGAGGGCTGTGTGTCAATAAAACTTTATTGCTAAACATGGACAGAGGGCCACAGTCGCCAAGCCCTGGCTATGAGTTGGTTCCTATATGGGGCGGGTCTACACTTAGCCCACGTGGCCCCTTACAGGGCCCCGGGACTCACAGCCTCTCTCTGCCGCAGACACGCTGGTGGCGGTACTGGAGCGGGACACTCTGGGCATCCGCGAGGTTCGGCTCTTCAATGCCGTAGTGCGCTGGTCTGAGGCTGAGTGCCAGCGACAACAGCTTCAGGTGACGCCTGAGAACAAGCGGAAGGCGCTCGGCAAGGCCCTGGGCCTCATCCGGTTCCCCCTGATGACCATCGAAGAGTTCGCCGCAGGTAACTAACGGGCTTGCATGGCTGCTCCTGCGCCCCTCCAGCCCACGTCCGTCAGGCTGTGACTTGAGGACGCTGCCCGGGACCCTGGGGCTTCCAGTCATGGGGTCGTGTCCTGTCAGCCACTCCGGATTCAGCTTTGGGCTGGGCCCAGATGGTAGATGAGTCGCCTGGCGTGCAGGGCCTGGCGTGGCTTCTGGACGCTGCACTGGTGAAGCGCGGCTGGGAGGTGACGCTGTGTGCAGACGGCGGGCCAGCCCGGGCTGCAAGCCCCGCATGTCAGGCAGGACCCCGGGTCCCAGGAGGCCTGAGTCCCCGGCCCTCTGCCCGCAGGCCCGGCGCAGTCCGGCATCCTGGTGGACCGCGAGGTGGTGAGCCTCTTCCTGCACTTCACTGTGAACCCCAAGCCGCGCGTGGAGTTCATCGACAGGCCCCGGTGCTGCCTGCGGGGCAAGGAGTGCAGCATTAACCGGTTCCAGCAGGTGGAGAGCCGCTGGGGCTACAGTGGCACCAGTGACCGAATCAGGTGGGGCCTGCGCCCCGTGGGCGTGTTCCCGAGCGGGCGGTGTGCCCTCCAGCTCCGGGCTGTGGGCTCTCCCACGGCCGGTCCAGTTGCTCCCCCAGGGGCCCAGGGCGTTGACCCGTCCGCCACTCACTTCCTCCTGCAGGTTCTCCGTCAACAAGCGCATCTTTGTGGTGGGGTTTGGGCTCTACGGATCCATCCACGGGCCCACTGACTATCAAGTGAACATCCAGGTAAGCCCCCAGCCCCGCCCGTTCCATCACCACCACCCCGGCCTTCCGGACCCCACAGCTAGGCCCTGAGTCCCCATCCCACCCTCCTGGAGGCCAGCCCACCCCCTGGAGGCCACGCCCACACCCCCCATCAGGACCCTCCGGTCCGCCCGCTGAGCAGCCTCTGTCCCCAGATCATCCACACGGACAGCAACACGGTCCTCGGCCAGAACGACACCGGGTTCAGCTGTGACGGCTCGGCCAGTACCTTCCGGGTCATGTTCAAGGAGCCCGTGGAGGTCCTGCCCAATGTCAACTACACCGCCTGCGCCACACTCAAGGTGGGCCCCCCGCCCCCGTCCCCGCGGGCTGCGGGCGCCCCTCTTCCCCCACAGTCTTGGGGGCTGACTTCCTGACCTCACTGTGCCTCCCACTCCCCCCAGGGCCCGGACTCTCACTATGGCACCAAAGGCCTGCGCAAGGTGACCCACGAGTCGCCCACCACGGGGGCTAAGACCTGCTTCACCTTCTGTTACGCGGCAGGGAACAACAACGGTACCTCGGTGGAAGATGGGCAGATCCCCGAAGTCATCTTCTACACCTAGGCCCTTCTCCACCCAGGCCACCTCCCGGCTGCCGGCCTCCCTCCCGGCCCCTCCCTCGTCATCATGGAAGGGGCCGCCGTGTGACCACAGTGACAAGTGTGACCACGGTCCCAAGGCACGGGGGAGGTGGTCGGGCCGTGGGCTGGGCCTGTCAAGACAATCCCTCAGTGTTGAGGGGCAGATGGGCCTGGACCCGGATGGACAGCTGTTGGGGCTGAGGGCCGTGGTTTGGGAGTCTGGGTTCCCACTCCGGTCCCTGCAGCTCAGGGCAGCAGGCCAGCTCCGTGGCCAGGGCCTGCGGCGGCCGCTGCCCTCTTCAACTGCACACTGCAATGCATTCGAGCCCACCCTCGGCTGGAGCCCGTGCGGGCCTGTCTTCCAGCCAGTGGTTTGGGTTTCATGTTCCTGTTCTCCGCTGCTCCCTGGGGATTCCAGGGCCCGACCTGAAGCCCTGGCCTCCTGGGCATGAGCATGTGCAGGGCCTGGGTCAGTTCTGAGGAGCCTTGGGTGGGGCTGGTGGGCTTCGCTGGAAGGTCCGCCCCAGTGTGGGTGACATGTGGGCCACTGTCCCTGCGAGGCCATCACTGGCCAGCCTCTGGACCAGCTCCTCCCCTGTGGCCAGCAGAGCTCAGCCCTGAGCCAGGGCAGCAGCAGCAGGTCAGGCCCTATCAAGATGCACTGGGCCTCCAGCTGGCCTGCTGTGGCACCCAGGGTCCCACAGAACACCCCTGTGCAGACCACAGCCCTGGCCCCCGAAGGCTACCAGGCACCCCGTCCAGTGATGCCCTAGGAGGCACCGTCCCCTGTCTGGGGTCCCTCCCCTCATGTCTGCGTACCTGTGACTCCTGCCCGGAACCCATGTCCTCCCCAAAGCCATGGGAGGTGAGCCCTCCACACTGTGTCCCCAGATTTTTTTTTTAAATAAAGGAAAGAAGCGTCCGCCTTGAGCCACTGAGTGCCGCATCCTCTGAGCGCTGCGTCTGTGAGGTGGGCGCCCTAGCAGCCCACGCCGCTCCCTAAGAACACTTTCACAGTGTCCCCGAAAAGCAAGAGCCAAGACCCTGAGAGGGACCAGAGGCTGGAGGTCTGCAATCCTGGGCTAGCCTGGGATACATGACACCCTGTTTCAAAACAAAAGAGGGGCACTGGGGAGATGGTTCCGTGATTAAGAGCGCCTGCTGCTCTTGCAGAGGCCCTGGGTTCCCAGCACCCGTGCTGGGTGTGAGCCACCTGAGCTCAGCTGCTCCGGCGAGTCTGGACTCAGCACTGTGTGCGCGCGCGCACACACACACAAATGCACGATTTAAGATAATAAAAACTAATCTTTCCTGAGCAGTGGTGGCGACACCTTTAATCTCTGAGTTCAAACATGAAGCCCTGGGATCCAGCCCCAGTAATGCCAGGGGAAATGTCCCAGCAGGGAGCACGCTCACCTCACATTCCCCAGCTTCCCAGGCGCAGCAGCGCTCCCAGCCTTCGGTTCTGCAACAGGGCAGCTGTGGACTCCTGACCCGAGGTGGGCTTTGAGTCTGCAGGGCCCTTTGCACACCCCTGCCCTGTCCGCCTTTTGGGGGGCTGCTGGGTCCCTCAGGTTTGGGAGCAGCAGCCTTCCCGCCCCGCCCAGGTCACCACAACCTCTTCCACCCTGATCAGAGTGCTCAGCTCCTCGAGGATCCCAGTGAGCCAGCTGGGCCCCTAGATCCAAATCTCTTTTCTTTTTTAGATTTATTATGTACACAGTGAGTGTTGGACCTGCTGCAGGCCAGAAGAGGGCACCAGACCTCATTGTAGATGGTTGTCACCGTGCGGGTGCTGGGAATTGAACTCATGACCTCTGGAAGAGCAGCCAGTGTTCTTAACCTCTGAGCCATCTCTCCAGCTCCAAGACCCGAATATCTTAAGGATTGCAAAGACCAGGCCCCCGCTCGATGGTTTCGTTTTCTTTTATTTTTTTTTTAAAAAAAGCCCCTAAACTCTATGGCTTCAAGGAAGCGCTGGAGAAACATAAGTTCATTTCTGTACACGTTGTAAAGCAAGAACTCGGCTCCCGCGACCGCGGCCGGGCCCTCCCGTGGGGACCGCCTCTCTGCTGCCCCGGGCCGGGCATTAAGGCGATTCTGTCCCGCGGGCCCAGCACGAAGGGACACGGGTCACGGCGGGCCTGGCTCCGCGGGGCCCAGACCAGTCCCTGTGCGGTGACCGTCCCGTCCCCCGGCTTTGGTGCAGCATCGTGGCAGCGCACGCACCCCCCCTTCGGTGGCCTCCCGTGACACCCACGCCCCGGGCCTGCCCCCCTCGAGAAAACGGCCTTTGGATCGAGGGGACAAGCTGGACTTTATGAGCTAACGGGGGGCCGGCGGGACGCTTCTCTCCCGGTGTTAAATAGTTAGTGCTCTCCAAGGGGACGCCACGGGGGCGCAGACATTTCCGCCAAAGTCCTGTGTGAAGGAAGGGACCCCGAGTCCCCGAGGACGCCGCCTCACGTCGGGCCAAGGAGCCCATGGCGCCCGGGACACCGCGGCCTCCTGGACGCGGCCGGGGCTCCGGGGGACGGCCGCTCCGCCTCACTTGTGCCGCTGCAGCGATTTTCTCTTCCTCCTCTTGAAGAAGCAGCAGCACCTGGGGGACGCGGGGGACACGGGAGTGACGCGGGGGACGCGGGAGTGACGCGGGGGACACGGGGGACACGGGAGTGACGCGGGGGACACGGGAGTGACGCGGGGGACACGGGAGTGACGCGGGGGACACGGGGGATACGGGAGTGACGCGGGGGACACGGGAGTGACGCGGGGGACACGGGGGATACGGGAGTGACGCGGGGGACACGGGGGATACGGGAGTGACGCGGGGGACACGGGAGTGACGCGGGGGACACGGGAGTGACGCGGGGGACACGGGATTGACACGGGGGACACGGGATTGACACGGGGGACACGGGAGTGACGCGGGGGACACGGGAGTGACACGGGGGACACGGGAGTGACGCGGGGGACACGGGAGTGACGCGGGGGACACGGGAGTGACGCGGGGGACACGGGAGTGACACGGGGCACAGGGGGCGGTGACACGGGTTAACGGGGGATGGTGACAGGAGTGGCGATGGGGTCAAAGGTGACAAGGGCAGAGGCCAGGTGACCCGGCCCTCGGAGCCCGGGGCTTACTTGGTTTCATCCGCCACCTCGACCTCGGCGGGGGCCGCGATGGGGGCGTTGGAGTGGCCCGCGGTGGGGTCGTCGGCGTTCAGCTCTCCATTGGTGGAGTTCAGCGCCTGCGACGGGGGCGGCCCTGGTCAGACTCGGCCCCGCTCGGCCCCGCTCGGCCCCGCTCGGCCCCGCTCGGCCCCGCTCGGCCCTGCTCACCCCTGCTCGGCCCCGCTCACCCCTGCTGGCCCGCGCCCACCCGCGGCAGGGCGAGCCGGCCTCACCTGGTTCTTGTGGGGCTGGGCTTTGTCGCGATGCGGTGGCTGGGAGGGGACGTCAGTGTGGACGGTGCCGATGGGTGTCGGCTGCGAGAGCAGATGTCAGGGCCGGATGGAGCCGCAGGCTCCGCTGCAGCCCCAGGACAGTTCCTGACCCGAGCCCGCCAGAGCTCCGCCCACGCCCCAACCCGGGGGTGGGGGTCCCCTGCACCCCACTGTGGGATCTCCCCTGCACCCCTCACTGTGGGATCTCCCCTGCACCCCTCCTCTGTGGGATCTCCCCTGCACCCCACTGTGGGATCTCCCCCTGCACCCCTCCTCTGTGGGATCTCCCCTGCACCCCTCACTGTGGGATCTCCCCTGCACCCCACTGTGGGATCTCCCCTGCACCCCTCACTGTGGGATCTCCCCTGCACCCCTCACTGTGGGATCTCCCCTGCACCCCTCCTCTGTGGGATCTCCCCTGCACCCCTCACTGTGGGATCTCCCCTGCACCCCTCACTGTGGGATCTCCCCTGCACCCCTCCTCTGTGGGATCTCCCCTGCACCCCACTGTGGGATCTCCCCCTGCACCCCTCCTCTGTGGGATCTCCCCTGCACCCCTCACTGTGGGATCTCCCCTGCACCCCACTGTGGGATCTCCCCTGCACCCCTCACTGTGGGATCTCCCCTGCACCCCTCCTCTGTGGGATCTCCCCCTGCACCCCACTGTGGGATCTCCCCCTGCACCCCTCACTGTGGGATCTCCCCCTGCACCCCTCACTGTGGGATCTCCCCTGCACCCCTCACTGTGGGATCTCCCCCTGCACCCCTCACTGTGGGATCTCCCCTGCACCCCTCACTGTGGGATCTCCCCCTGCACCCCTCACTGTGGGATCTCCCCCTGCACCCCTCACTGTGGGATCTCCCCCTGCACCCCTCACTGTGGGATCTCCCCCCTGCACCCCTCACTGTGGGATCTCCCCCTGCAACCCTCACTGTGGGATCTCCCCTGCACCCCTCACTGTGGGATCTCCCCCTGCACCCCTCCTCTGTGGGATCTCCCCCTGCACCCCTCCTCTGTGGGATCTCCCCCTGCACCCCACTGTGGGATCTCCCCCTGCACCCCTCACTGTGGATCTCCCCCTGCACCCCTCACTGTGGGATCTCCCCTGCACCCCTCCTCTGTGGGATCTCCCCTGCCCCCTCCTCTGTGGGATCTCCCTGCACCCATCACTGTGGGGATCTCTCCCTGCACCCCTCACTGTGGGATCTCTCCCTGCACCCCTCACTGTGGGATCTCCCTGCACCCCTCACTGTGGGATCTCCCCTGCACCCCCTCACTGTGGGATCTTCCCCTGCACCCCTCACTGTGGGATCTCCCCCTGCACCCCTCACTGTGGGATCTCCCCTGCACCCCTCACTGTGGGATCTCCCCTGCACCCCTCACTGTGGGATCTCTCCCTGCACCCCTCACTGTGGGATCTCCCCCTGCACCTCACTGTGGAGATCTCCCCTGCACCCCTCACTGTGGGATCTCCCCTGCACCCCTCCTCTGTGGGATCTCCCCTGCAACCCCTCACTGTGGGATCTCCCCCTGCACCCCTCACTGTGGGATCTCCCCCTGCACCACTCACTGTGGGATCTCCCCCTGCACCCCTCACTGTGGGATCTCCCCTGCACCCCTCACTGTGGGATCTCCCCTGCACCCCTCACTGTGGGATCTCCCCCTGCACCCCTCACTGTGGGATCTCCCCTGCACCCCTCACTGTGGGATCTCCCCTGCACCCCTCACTGTGGGATCTCCCCTGCACCCCTCACTGTGGGATCTCCCCCTGCACCCCTCACTGTGGGATCTCCCTGCACCCCTCACTGTGGGATCTCCCCCTGCACCCCTCCTCTGTGGGATCTCCCCCTGCACCCCTCACTGTGGGATCTCCCCCTGCACCCCTCACTGTGGGATCTCCCCCTGCACCCCTCACTGTGGGATCTCCCCCTGCACCCCTCACTGTGGGATCTCCCCCTGCAACCCTCACTGTGGGATCTCCCCTGCACCCCTCACTGTGGGATCTCCCCCTGCACCCCTCCTCTGTGGGATCTCCCCTGCACCCCTCCTCTGTGGGATCTCCCCCTGCACCCCACTGTGGGATCTCCCCCTGCACCCCTCACTGTGGGATCTCCCCCTGCACCCCTCACTGTGGGATCTCCCCTGCACCCCTCCTCTGTGGGATCTCCCCTGCACCCCTCCTCTGTGGGATCTCCCTGCACCCCTCACTGTGGGATCTCTCCCTGCACCCCTCACTGTGGGATCTCTCCCTGCACCCCTCACTGTGGGATCTCCCTGCACCCCTCACTGTGGGATCTCCCCTGCACCCCTCACTGTGGGATCTTCCCCTGCACCCCTCACTGTGGGATCTCCCCCTGCACCCCTCACTGTGGGATCTCCCCTGCACCCCTCACTGTGGGATCTCCCCTGCACCCCTCACTGTGGGATCTCTCCCTGCACCCCTCACTGTGGGATCTCCCCCTGCACCTCACTGTGGAGATCTCCCCTGCACCCCTCACTGTGGGATCTCCCCTGCACCCCTCCTCTGTGGGATCTCCCCTGCACCCCTCACTGTGGGATCTCCCCCTGCACCCCTCACTGTGGGATCTCCCCCTGCACCACTCACTGTGGGATCTCCCCCTGCACCCCTCACTGTGGGATCTCCCCTGCACCCCTCACTGTGGGATCTCCCCTGCACCCCTCACTGTGGGATCTCCCCCTGCACCCCTCACTGTGGGATCTCCCCTGCACCCCTCACTGTGGGATCTCCCCTGCACCCCTCACTGTGGGATCTCCCCTGCACCCCTCACTGTGGGATCTCCCCTGCACCCCTCACTGTGGGATCTCCCCTGCACCCCTCACTGTGGGATCTCCCCCTGCACCCCTCCTCTGTGGGATCTCCCCCTGCACCCCTCACTGTGGGATCTCCCCCTGCACCCCTCACTGTGGGATCTCCCCCTGCACCCCACTGTGGGATCTCCCCCTGCACCCCTCCTCTGTGGGATCTCCCCTGCACCCCTCACTGTGGGATCTCTCCCTGCACCCCTCACTGTGGGATCTCCCCCTGCACCCCTCACTGTGGGATCTCCC